AGCCCATCAGTATTAACTAACCATTATAGATACTGTATATGCAACCTCTACTATATTCCAGAGATCGTGTTTTTCTGGAGAGCTTCTGGACTTCCCAGATACAGCCAGTTGGTTATTGTGGAAAAGAGGATGCTGAAATACATGAAATCTTGCCGTGATCCGGCAAAGCGTTTATGTTCCTATTAGCATGATCAAACTGTCACCATCGATGACATGTTGGGTGGGGAAGTTGTAACAGATCATGTGCAGCATACTAGGTGTAGATATGAATCACGAGGTCAGGACAATTTTTGTTTGCCATAATGTTACTCCTATTGTATTGTGATAGGTTTTGCTCAAGAACTAAGACCCATTTGCATTTTTATGAAAAATCCCTTCCATAAAGATACATGACCAGCGACAAAAGTCATTAACATTTTTGCTGTGTTCTGCTCTCTTCTTTTCTTCTATTGACCATTTGAATTTAGCAGTGCACCAACAGTCTGTACATTTTTACTCTGCCTTTTCCTTAAAAGGATCCAAATTAACTTACATCATTAAAAGACCATATTAACGCTAACAACAGTCAGTATACAAATACTAAAAAGGATGAAAAAAACCATTTAAAAAACTATAAGCAACACAAAAACACATTCAATGGAGTAAGGTATGACAACTAATTAAAAAACCCTACTCAGGCAGCCAGTCACTCAGGGAAAGTCTGCTTGAAGAGAAAGGTCTTCACCTGCTTTCAGGACAGCAAAAATAGTGTGGGCTTAGCCTTTTGCAGGAGGAAGTTCCAAAGTCTGGGTACAGCAACAGAGAAGGCCCTCTCCCGTGTCCCTGCCAACTGCATCTGAGAAGCTGGCAGGACCAAGAGAAAGGTCTCTCCTGATTATCTTAACATTCAAGCAGATTTAGAGATGTGGTCCTTGAAATAACTTCAGCACAAGCCTTTTGGGGCTTTATATATTAGAATGAACATCTTGAAATCAGCCCATAGATGAATGTGATCATTTTAAATATGTGATCATTTAACCTCCTAGAGTTCAGCTTTTTAAGAATCTCTAGAAGCAAGCGATTTTGCTGGTGGGATCTACCAAACCTACCAGGCACAATTTTAAGAGAAGGAGGTGGTCCCTGGACTATGTTAATCACTTACACCTCCCCCAAGTAATAGTTTGGAACAGCTTGCTTTGGATAATAAAACTGCCTCACTTGCTCAGTTGGAATTTCATGCATCTTCTTTGATAGGCTGGGTGTATTTGAAAACTCAGGGCAAACAACGATGCTTGAGATGGCAGGATCTAATCTAGAAAAAAAGTGGGCTTCTGAATCCATCTTTTATGAAATAAGTATTTACCCTCTAAGCTTGACCCCTCTAGATATATTGATGTTTTAAATGAAGGAATCTCAGGAGAGAGGCAAGACAAGCAATTGGATTAAATATTTCATATGAGCCTGAATCAACTCAGAGTTATGAAAGGGAAAAAGATGAAATGCAAATGGGAATCTAAAATCATTATCAAAATGCTGTAGCTCTTATATTATCAAATATTATCAGTTCAAAGTGATTTGAAAATGGGCTTTGAAATATCACTGCGGGCTTATATCATAAATACTCTGTTTCTTTTTGGACCTTTTCTATCCTCCTGGGGAAAATGTCTATAAAAGAGAAAAGGGGGAAATGTTGCTTTAATGAAAGAGCTTGAACTCCACCAAGGAATCAGCAGCCACATAATGAAGAAGAATTAGGAGGAGGAGAATGCAAGATTTTATTATTGCCCCCTCACCATTGATAGCAAATATGCAGCTCAGCACAGCACATTGTCTGCTGCTGTGGGAAGGATTCCAAGCCGATTCCCTCACTGCAAAAAATGGGATACTTTTAGCACAGAAATCAGTCTGTCGGGAGGAAGAGCCATTTAGCTCTGATTGGTGCATGAAACATGACATACGCCTGTCCTTAAATCATTTATATTTTACTTTTTTATGATGCAATTGTGCATTACCTCTTTCTGCATTTGTAATTAGAGGATGTAACAGATGGCCTGAGCCCAGATCATGGTGATAAATCCATTCAAATAATGTACAAGGAAGCTGTTGTGGACAAATGATTCTTTGTCCAGTGCTTTGTTCCAAGCCCTGTATTCTTTGGGAACACACAGAAAGTGAATATTATTCAAAAATAGCCTTATATCAAGGATACAAGCATTTCTAGCCTCTGAAAATGTTCCTCTTGTTTGTAATAATATTGGGTGTTTATTCCCTGGCCCTTGTTTATAACAAGAGGCTCAATGAAAGATTGTTTTAGGTACTAGTCTGGTAGAACTCCTGCCAGACTGAATAATTTTTTTTTCCAGGGGAAATCATTTTTATGTCATGGTAATGTGCTACTGATCACACACAGATTTCCTTTGCCTTTGGTGGAGTTATAATGTGGTCCAAAGGCTTGAGGAACAGGTTCCAGCTATCACTGCTGGTGACTGCTTACATGGTTTCAACAAGTCACTGGGAAATTGCTGACAAAATACCAGTTTGGGGGAAAGTAGGTATATTGGTCTGATGCAGTAGCCCTTTAAAGATAAGCAAATTTTATTTAGCATAAACTTTCATGGACTGCATCACACTATCTGACACAGCTATTTATCAGCAATCAAAGATTGGCTGAATAAAGTCCTTGAGGCTGCCGAAAGAGACACCCTGATAGGCAGACATCTATTGGAGGGGAGAAAAATGAGGCTCACCCCTGCAATGTCTGTCTGTCTGTCTGTCTCTCTCTCTCTCTCTCTATCTCTATCTCTCTCTCTCTCACACACACACACACACACAAACACACACACACACACAAATGCTTTCATTTCAAAAGGTAGGATTTTAGGATATTCTACCTTATATGTGAACCCTAGACAAGGCTCCACACACTGTGTTGGGATTCCTGGGCCTGGGTCATCTTTTTAACATTATTGAGCCAAATGGATGAATAAATCAATTTACATGCCTAGGGAGCTTTGTTAGGCATGTGCATGAGAAGGGCCCTTAACATTCCTCTCAGTATTGTATTGCTTGCTCTTCATTTATTTTGTACTATAATGGCCACAATCCCTTGCCATTGACCAGTCTGGATGAGGCTTTAAGGAGTTTAAATTCAAAACATCTGGAGGACCAGAAATTCCTCAACCCTGCTATATAGTTATTCTTTCTATGTAACAAAATGAAACAAAAACTGAAATTGTGCAGCCAGGGACTAAAAATTTTGTTCCATGCTAAACAGAATATCATGAAATGTATAAGGCATATAAATTACCCTGGGTGTAAATGCAAATAGGCTATGAGTACTCATGGGGACAAAGAACTGAAAGAATCCTACTGGTGTTTGCATAAGACAGTGCTTCAATTAGCCACATTTAGTCACAGCCATGTGGTCCTTACACAATACAATGCTGAAACATGCAATACCTTTATTAGAAACCTAAAATAATTATGCCCACTCCTTCAGGCATACCGCGGTGTCTTGTTAGTGTAGAGAATGTAGAGTCCCAAAAGCTCATGACAGATGGATTTGCCATGCTTGTTACCTAGATTTTGTTGTTGTTGTTTAGTCATTAAATTGTGTCCGACGCTTCGTGACCCTGTGGACCAGAGCACGTCAGGCCCTCCTGTCTTCCACTGCCTCCCGGAGTTAGGTCAAATTCATGTTGGTAGCTTTGATGACACTGTCCAACCATCTCGTCCTCTCTCGTCCCCTTCTCCTCTTGTCTTCACCCTTTCCCAACATCAAGGTCTTTTCCAGGGAGTCTTCTCTTCTCATGAGATGGCCAAAGTATTGGAGCCTCAGCTTCAAGATATATCCTTCTACTCAGGGCTGATGTCCTTCAAAATGGTTAGGTCTGTTCTCTTTGCAGTCCACATGACTCTGAAGAGTCTCCTCCAGCACCACAATTCAAAAGCATCAATTCTTCGGTGGTCAGCCTTCTTTATGGTCCAGCTCTCACTTCCATACATCACTACTGGAAAAACCTATAGC